GCTGTTCCCCTTCCCCCAATTCCCCAATAAAATCCTTAAAGAAAAAAAGGAATAGTGCTCTGTGGTGTGCCAGGGCTCTTCAGTTGTGCCCTGGGACACAGCAGGCAGTGAGCCAGCCTCCCTTTCCTTAGAGATTCTGCAGAGGAGTTCATCTGAAGAAAGCATTCTCCAGCTAATAGAGAGTTGGGAAACAATTAATCTAAGGAATTAAGGATGCCATGCAGTTGGACTACATGCCTCAGCTGTCTAGACTTCCTGGGGGGAAATGCAGTCTTCCAGCAAGCTTTTATTAAAATACACAGCATCACACCAAGAGCGATGGAGGGTAGAAAAGAAGATGCAGACCTTGTAGCATTCTCGGCTAACTGGAAAAAAAGATGTGCAGAATTCAGCTACTCTAGAAAATCAAGCTGTTCATTATGGCCACAATAATTTATTGAGTGCCCAATGGGTCCAGGCTCTGTGTGATGCTCTGAGATACCACGATGACAATGGTCCTACCCTTAGAGAGCCTACTGTTATCCTGAGTGCCTGGAAATGGAGCTCAGGGAAGATCAATAATAACAGGAGACATTGGAGTGGCCTTCCTGAGAAAAATGAGTCCTATGCTGAGACCTGAAGTTGCTGACCAAGATGAAGGAGGAAGGTGGAGGTCACTGCAGACTTGAGGAACGACGAGAACATACATGTAGAGAATCATGCTCTGTGACTTTTCTTTTATGCAGCCTTTGTATCAGCTCGTGGGCAAGAAGCAAAGGGAGTTACTGGGATTCAGAGAGCAGCTCTCAGAGGAGTACAGGTCTATGCAAGGGAGGAGGTAAAGGATAAAGGTTGGCGTGAGATTGTGCAGGGACTTGAATGGCAGGCTAAGGAGTCAGGTGGGCAGTGGACATTAAAACTTTTTGATAAGGGCTGGCCGAATGGTGCATTGGTTAAGAGTTGGCTTAGAGCGCCAGCTCTGAGCAGCAGGGCCGCCGGTTCGGATCCCACATGAGGGCCAGTGACACTGCCCTCTACAGCTAAGATGGTGAACAACAGCTCAACCTGGAGCTGGGCTGCTGTGAGTCTCCAGCGACAGCGTAGGCTGCAGTGGGGCTGCAGTGGGCTGCCGTAAACTACTGGGAGCGGCCAGTAGCCAGCATGAGCCTTCGTGAGCTGCCGTGAGCCGCTGTGAGCAGCCGTCCAATGGCCAGCAAGCGACTGCCTCACCCAGGAAGAGCGCAATGATATTATCAACATGGGCCAGTGAAGCAACGTCCTCCACAACGAGACTGAAGAACAAAAGGATAGCAACTTGTCTGTTCCCCTTCCCCGATTCCCCAGTGCTGTTCCCTTCCCCCAATTCCCCAATGACATCTTAAAAACAAACAACTTTTTGATAAGAAGAATGGGGTCAGCAGTATTTTTGGAAAATTAAAGCAGTGGAGGTGTGGGGAATGGATTTTTCTTTTAAGTTAAAATCCAGGTGGAATTGTTGGTTCTTCACTATTTTGATTTAAATTTACACTTTGGTTTCCAGGGAACTGATCCTAGTGTTCATGCTAGTTCCACTGATTCTGACCCCACTGTCACCCAGGGACCCTGAGCCAGGCCTCCGCCAGCAAGATGGCTCTTTCTACATCAGGATGACCTTGTCCTGGGAACTCTTTGTTTCTTCCAGGTTTTGATGAAGAAGGAAGCTTGTATGTTCTTAAGGGTGATCGCACCATTGAGTTTGATGGCGAGTTTGCAGCTGATGTCTTGGTGGAGTTTCTCTTGGATGTAAGCATTTATGCAGAGTGGCTCTGCATGTTGCTGTTTGGGTTCAGGAATGGGGGGGGGGGAAGTAAAAGCCCAAAGTAAGAGCACAGAAGCTGGATAATGTGACTTGGTCTAAGACAGATTTCTCAGACTTCACAAAAAAATTAAGGAGTGTCTACATCACAGTGCTATTTACTTCTACTGGGAAGCTGGCCCTTAGCTCACCTTAGAAACTGCTTTATTAGTTATCAGAGAGTCACTGATTGGGACTGTGTAGGAGTAACATGTTAATTATCTTAGCAATTATACACCAACATTCCCTGAAATTCCCTTGGCTTTGTTCCAGTGCTTCTGAAGAGGAGCTGGGGAGTGTGGGAAAGAGAAGTGGATAATCACCTGAAGATCAGTGGGAGAGGAGTAACATCAGCTGAGTTACACTCAGTTACCCTCAGGGCAGAATAAAAAGGGTTAGAGCTAGTGAGCCCCCAATATCACCCTTCCTCTCAGCCATGTAGTTACACCACCCTCAGATCCATATGCTCCAGCAAATCACGGAACAAACACTATAAAAATAGTTTACCTACAAATAAACTCACATATTCAATCACAGCTGTGAAGTCAAGTTCAAGCTGCTTTTGAACACAGGTTCCTATACAGAAAAAGAACATCCATACAGATGATTCTTTATCTACCAGCTAGTCCACAGTGGCCTATCATCTTTTCTCCACAGCCTCAAAAACCTAGAGAGAGAGAGAGAGAGAGAGAGAGAGAGAGAGAGTCAAAAGTGAGTGGCAGGTCACCTCCTAGGAAAAAATGCCCCTGGACTCTGCTTGGCCCTCTCACTGACCCATAACTGCAAGCCCTAGACAAGTGGAGGGCCACACCAGAGCAACTCTGGGCCAACATGGCACCATCCCAGCTCCATCAGCAAGGCTGACGCTTTTAGATGCATGTAATGAAAACCAGACTCGAGCTACCTTAAACAAGCAGCAACATGATTGGCCCACACAAACAGAATACCAGAGTGAGGGCGGGGTTTAGACTTGATCAAATCAGGGCTCCAGCTCCATTTTTCTCTGTAAATCATGAGTAATGTTTTTTTCAGTGTGTTGCCTTTGTCCTCAAACAGACTGTTTTCATGTTGGGTATAAGCTAGCCAGCAACAGAAGTTAATACATCCCATTTCCTCATTGATATGCAACAGTGGGTGGGTGGGGCAGGGAGATTTCCCATTATTCTCTTTAAAAGGAAAGCATCACTTTCCCCAAGCTTCCAGCAAAACGTCCCTGAAGATTCATTGGCCGGAATGGAGTCACATGCCATTCCTGCATCCTTAAAGGGCAAGAGAAATAGAACTGACCCCAGACAAATCAGCCTACTCCTTCAGTTAAGATCAATTCCTTAAAGGGTGCTGTGCTCATTGGGGTGAGGGTGGGGGGAGATGGATGCTGAGGGACCAACCACAAAGTCCACAACTTCTCTCCAAAGCCCCTGATATCTGGAAAAGGAACAGTTCTCTTATTTGAACCTATTTTGCGTGTGTGTGTGTGTGTGTGTGTGTGTGTGTGTGTGTGTGTGTGATTTCAGCTCATTGAAGACCCAGTGGAGATCATCAATAACAAACTGGAAGTCCAGGCCTTTGAACGGATTGAGGATCAGATCAAACTCATTGGCTTTTTCAAGAGTGAGGATTCAGAATGTAAGTTGTCTGTCAACCCCAGTCTGTCCGTCTAAAGGCTAGATTCCCAACGAGTTATGCAAGCTCGTTCATAAAGAGGATGGGCCATCAGGTAGACAAGAAAGAGAACCTTCCTCGAACCCCATGCAATGGGACACAGGCCTAAATTATGCAGCACAGGCAGGGGAGCGCTAAGAACACTAAGGTTGGGCCATGTTCTCTGGTCTTGAAGATAGGGGAAGAGAGAAAAGCCCTTCCTCCACTTTTTCCACCTGCATATCTACCAGGTGGATTCTCCCCTAAAACTGGACAAATACTGCGTTGTCTCCCCGGCATTGGCAGCTCATGTAGCCACCAGTTGGAGAACTTCTCAGTCACTTGGATGCATCAGAGGAAAATTTGGGTAGGGATGGGCTTAGCAGCTGCAGCACAATGTGGAAAATTGCTGGCCAAGCCCACTGACCACCAAGGCTGTCTGCAATAGCACACCACACCCTTGGGGATATTCTCTTTCAAAGCTTTGTGGCTGGGTTTTGGGTAGGCACAGGAACATATCCTAGCATCAGCACAACCCGTAACAGGAGGGAGAGGGTGGTGAGTGGGACTCAGGGAGAGTCAGGAAGGGAAGGAACCAGGAAGACTAACTACCTGAGTACCTTTCCTTAGACTGCATTGGCTACATGAGCCTCGTGAGTTAAGCCTTTTTCTGGTGTCTCAGCTTTGGAGAGAGGGAAAGAGTTAGAGGGAGCAGCTAAAACTATGAAAGAAAATTGAGTAGCATTAGTTGTGGGGGAAGTACAAATGAGAGCTGCCTGTGGCTATTTCTGGAAACTCCAAAATATTTTGGAATTATCTGTGAAGCTGTGTCTCTATCCCACCTGCTAAATGGCATCTTTAGTCATCTCAACAACCCACCAATTTTCTCGCTCCGATGACCCAACTGAACTGTCTTCTCATTTACTACATAAAAGCCTCCATTCACCATCCTTAAGAGTGTGTTGGGGGAAGGTGGCTAGCCAGGGAGCTGTGCCTCAGTCCTTCTTTAGGTGACATTATTTCAATTTTCACATTTCTATATAGATGCTGGCACCTCTGGGGTGCTTCTCATGAGATCAGAGTAGAAGGCTAGGCTTGGTTTCCTGAAGACAACTGCTGTTTGCATGAGGCTAAGGGTTCAACCCCAGTTTGAAGCACCAATTTGAGAATTAATCTTGCCCCACTCTTCATCTTAAAAGGGACAGAGAGAAGGGAGTTCTCTTGACACTGGTCTAGGCCATCAGGGTAGGAGGTCACAGAGGTGGAGAGCAGTTCACCAGGGACAAGCGGTCAGGGGCGGGAACAAGGCCTCTGATGGAGCCCACTGCTACTTTAAACAGACACGAATGACTCAGCTATGTCTTTGCCCCTGCACTTTCTATACCTTCCCACTTTCTCTTTATTCATTCTCCATACTTCTGACCCATCCTCTTCTCCTCCAGTCAATCCTCTACCCCAAATTCAGGCTATATGTTATATTTTGTGACAACCCAATTATTTTTGTGAGGATGCATTTCCTGAGTGCGTATCAGTATGTACTCTTCTTGTACACTTTTCAGCCCCTGTCTCACCTGTGCTAATTGTGCTCACCTCTATTCTAGCAACTACCTCACTGCACTGTGATCCTTTAAGGGTCCAGACCCTCCCTGGGCTGTGAGCCTTTGATCACTGTCCTTGTCTTACTCATCTTTGTGTCTCCTGAGCCAACATTATTTTTGAACGTTTTTGTTGAATATTAGAAAATCCTGCATGCTCCTGGGATTCTCGCGAAAGCTGATGCCTCTGATGACGAAGGGAAATGAAATTTCATGAAATTGGAAAAGTTAATCTTGTTAAGAATGAATCATTGACTCTCAAGATTATGGAATTTACGTAGAATAACCACCACCATTACCATTACCATCAGCCTCACATCTAAGGCTTAAATACACTTACTTATCTTTCCCAAGTAAGTGTAGTAAGTCACAGCATGGCCACCCTCATGTGGTCTCATGTTTCTCTTCACCAGTTCAGACTCAAGTTTGGGAAGAGAGTCAAGTATAGGCTTGATTAACTTTAAACCATCCTTTCAAGGGATCAGAATAAAAAAGGAAAACTTACAAAATTGGAAAAAACAACAACAACTAGGATTTACCATAAAGTGTATTCCTGCTAAGAAGTTTAAAATACTTTAAAATACTTTAGTAGCTAAATAATAACTACTAAATAATTATCCAATAAGGATTAATTGGCTTCCCACTTCTCTCTACATTATTTGAAAAGAGAAATGTCTGCAGTGTGCATTTTGAAAATGTCTCTCCCTTTTATCTTTTTCCTCTTAGATTACAAGTCTTTTGAAGAGGCAGCTGAACAATTCCAGCCTTACATCAAATTTTTTGCTACCTTCGACAAAGGCGTAAGTACCTACAAAATCCCAATGTGAACACTTTCGAAGGCACAAAATATTAAAGTTTGAACTTTCCACCACTTTCTCTTTCCTTTTAGCAAGCTTAACCACCCACCATCCAGTAACACTAGCTCCAGAAGTGTTAGAAATAATAACTAGTAGTAAATCACTATTGAATAAGAGATGAGTACAAAGATGATGACATCAGAGGATGTAAGGGCATTTGTGAAAACACCCAGTGAAAAGGGATACACCACTCATTATCACTCAGAATGGGAAGTGTGTGAGCCCAGAGCATGCATCCTCACTGCTTCCTTTTTCTTTAGAGCTGTGTTGTCTCCCCCACTGGGGTTGCATACTTTCCCTCTTCTGGGTTAGGAGGGGGGATGGGATGGGGAGGGGCACTGACTTCTGAGGCCCTGAGTGCTTCAGAAAGTTACCTGCATCTTCAGAAAATGTCATTGATGTCCTATACTTGTCTATAATTCAATTGTTCTTTAATTTCTGGATGTGACAAGTGCTTTTATAAGCCAGAAAACAGCAGAGATAGCAAGACCTTGAATCAATGGGTCTGCCGTGGTTGGGGTACCCCACTCTGGCTCTAGGTACTAAAATGGCTGCTATTTACCCAGTGCTGTCAGTGCGTTGAGCACAATTTGATATACAGTAATACCTTGGTTTGTGAGCATAATTCGTTCCAGAAACAAACTACTCATATTGCAAGACATCACTGGTTTATGTTAAAATGTATTAAAAATGTGTGCTCATCTTGTAGAACACTCGCAAACCAAGTTATTCGCAATCCAAGGTTTTACTGTATTGCATTTATACTCTTTCTAACCCTTTAAACAACTTTGAAACATAAGAGCCCCTGCTTTCCAGATGAAGAAAGAAAAATTTAGTAAGGTTAGGTAATATCCAAGGTCTCCAGCAAATTAATGGTAGTGCTGAGATCCCAATTTAAGACAATCTGTGCCCCCAACCCCTGCCCTTTCCCCTGTACCGCCCCAGTAAGTAGCGGACTCTGCATCTACCCTTGAGATTCAGGGTGCACACCCACATAACATATACACAACACACACATACATAACACACACAACACACATGCATAACATACTTAAAACATACCCAACATACATGTAACACAAACAACACACACATACATTCACAAACAATATACACACTCACACAACACACACATCTAACACCTACCTGCACTACACACACGCTCAGAATACTTGAAGTAGTCTGTGGAAAACAAGAGGAGGCCTGTAGGTGTTAGAGCAGGGAAGGACTATGATGAAAAGAGATTACATTCAATTCCTACATACATTAAACCACTTCTATGGATAAGGCCCCTGTCTACAAGCCTGCAATCCAGACGAGAGGTCCATAATCTAAATTATGTCATCTAAGCTTGAAGAATGTTTACCCTAATTGGTTAGATTAGAGCTGGGAGAGAACTTGAGGAAGAATGCTGGAAGGAGTAATAACTATCATTTATTAAGGCCTTCTTAATGTGCTGGGCTTTGCGCTAAGAGCTTCTATAGGTTTTCTCATTTAATCTTCTCGATACCCCTGTAAAAGAGGAATTAGTATTCTCTGTCTACAGGGGATGAAACTGGGGCGCCAAGAGATTAAGTGACTTGCGCATAGTCACAAAGGGGGTTGTGACGCTGGATGTCATCTCAGGTTAGCCCGGCTTCAAAGTCAATGGTCTGTGCTACTCTACTCCATAGAAAGGAACGAAACACATAAAACACATAGCTGGCATCTGGCACACAGTAAGCCTTCAGCAAAGGTCAGCTCACTATGAGCACTATTGTTAATAAAAGGCAGTCATCTAGGTCCAGGAGGATGGAGGCTGGGGGAGGATATGAGTAGAGAAGGGGAGGTACAGAGAAGCCTAAACTAAATCCATCACTGACATTTAGTTACGATGGACCAAGAGTAACTATGATGGCTCCCGGGTAAGAAAGAACTCATCTAAGGGAAGACAGAGTCACGCAGATGAGCTTGGCCAAGCAACAAAGCCTTAGTTCTTAGAAGGGTGGTTCAATGCAGGCTTCAGGGTGGTGTCAGCTTTCAGATGTGCTTTCCAGCTCAACCATATGGCTGCATGTCTGTGGCCCATGAAGAAGGTGAGGTCAGGCTATAATTAAGAACACAGAGGCTCTTCACTAAAAACTCTGGAAGACACTGAGTCATGAGTGCCACTGTTCATGTAGCCTTGTGGGATTTCATGACATTTGAAAAGAGAAAGATATACCCTCTACTTTTATTTGGAACATAGAGGGGCGAGCTGTTGCACCGAGAAGACTCAATGCCATTTGGAACCTAAGAACTTGCACCCATCAATTGGGATGTGTGTGTGACAATACCCAGGGGGAGATGGTGGGATCCAGAAGGCATAGTTGCCCCCATGATGCTACTCGGAATGGCACACAATTTAAAACTTAGGAATTGTTTATTTCTGGAATTTTCCACTTAATATATTTGGACAGCAGCTGACTGTGGGTAACTGAAACCACAGAAAGCATAACCGCGGATAAGGGGGTGGGGACACTATCATATGTGAGTTGGAGAACGCTAAAGGGGGTGAGCTCTAAGGGCTGCTGGTGTAGATTTGGAAGTTAGCAGCTTCCAAATACTGTTCATATTAGTATCCCCTTCAAGGAACTTTTAAAACTATGGATTCCTGGGCCCTAACCCTGGAAATTTGGATTTTTTAAGGACTTTTGACAGGGCCTAGGAATATGCATTTTCAAAAAGCTCCTAAAGGGTTTTACCTGGCATGCTGGTTTGTCACCAGCACTGATCTATGGAACCTGATCCTAAAAAAAGCCTCACCAGGGCCCAAGATCTCTAAGCAAATGGAGCAAGAGAGGGTCAGAGGGCTAAGGACAGGGCCCACTCTCCTGCACCTTATGGTCTGAAGGGCGTAGGTTCGAATCACCCCATGTCACCTCCCACTGACCCGTTCCTTTCTTGGAGTGAACACAGAGAAGCAAAATCATTTTTCAAACCATGCTGGGGCCAAAAGAAGCTGTGATTATCTAAACAAAGTTGGTGGAGAAGACACATGTTGTAAAGGCCTAAGTTCAGTGAGTCGGTTTCATCTGCAACAGCTGAAATGGCTTGCTAACTTGTAGAAAAAACATCTTTATCAAAATTCATAGGGCCGGCTGAGTGGCGCGATGGTTAAGAACTGGCTTGGGACACCAGAGGTCCCCGGTTCAGATCCCACATATGAGGGCCAGTGACACTG